CTACACAGATTAAAATTGTCTGCCTACCCAAAAGTAGTAAAACTCAGAGAAACCAAGCAGTCAGCTTTAGCCATCTGTATTCCAACTAAACGCATCTTAACCTGAGAAAAGGAAAAAAAGAAAGAAAAAAAAATCATCTTAATTCTCTTTTCCCTCCTTATCTTCCCATACCCTTCATCCACTGACACACACCTTCCCCCGCTCTGTATATAGCTGATCAAAACTCAGAATTAGTTCTGGGCAAGAGTTACAGCAAATATCAACTAAGTTTTACTTCTGTGACGCAGTCTTGCTCGGAGACCACAGATGGAGTGTATTTCATTCACCTTAAAGCAGACAGACTGACGAGATCAGCCCTGAATTTCCGAGTTTTTGCTGACTTCTATAAAACTACTAAACTTAAGTACCTATATTAATTTCCTACTTTTTAGCCTAGCACTATGTCCCTACGGTACAAAACTAGGAGAGAAACAGAACAAGGTTCTTAACCTGTATTTTCTTGATTTTTAATGCTGTTTTTCAGGAAACTCTTGAGGTGGTCTTTGCTTCTCTTTAAATGGAGTTCACATGCTGTTCAGACCACTGAAATCTTCCTAAGCAGACATACTGACCAAGATGCCATGAAAGATACTGACAGGATTATTTCCTCATTAACAGCCAGGGAACATTTCCTTGCTATGAAGGTATTTTATAGAACATGGAGAGAAAATGGCATGAAGAAAAGCTAACGCCTTTATCCAAGATAGCCATCAGTGTTGCTCCTGGGTGAGGCTTCCTGAGTTGAAATAAAAGCAGCGTTAGCAGCAACTCCAGTTAAGTTCAGAGTCAGGAACAGGTATGAAAATATTATAGAAGAAAACATTCTGTGAAAATGAGGGCAACGGGTGAAGTTACAGCTTTAGAATGAAGAACTGATGACTAATGAGAGAATGTCATATGCAATTTTAGATGCAAGTCACACTTGGTGCGTCCTCCAAGACATAAGGGTGTTTTTTTGTGGCAAAATTTAGCTCCAAAGCAAGTGATGGTACATAAATATGCATACTGAATATCTGTTATACTTACCAGGAATTTCAGGAGAAGGTCAGAGCGTTCCAGGAAAGCAGGGATGTACATCTTGTATTTGCTAAAATGTTAAATATTATTCTAGAAGCTATTTGCAAAGTCTAGCAGCTTGTAGTTTCCTACAGCTGCCAGATGTGTGCACACTATTGAAAAGTTATGTGTTTCCAGAATTTAACTGGCAGGCTCTAAAGTTTAAGACTCTCCTTAAAATATCTTGTTACCAGACAAGAAAATCTTTTCAGGCCTACAGCATCTATTCTTCATAGAGCTGCACCACACCTTTGCGGTCCTGCCCACCCTGAGAAAGTGCAGTAGCCTGCTTCTTCATGTGGAATAGCTTGGAAACAGCTTTCTCTTCATCCCACCCATCTCTTCTCACGAGGGCAGCACTGTTTTCTTCATCAGCCTCATCTGTTCTTTATGTTTTTGAGGTCTTAATAAGCCTCTGTACAATGCATTTTCTTTCATCAGTTCTTAACCATACCATAAACGTTTCCCAGTCCCATCCCTTGTGTTCCATGAACTAGCAAAGCCCTTAGTGGGAGAGCTGCTGTAACTATGGTCTTGCCTTTCGCTACCACCAGACTGGCTCTACCTACAGATGGCAATTCAGGTATCTGAGAAAAGCTGTGACTCCTGACTCCTGAGCAGCTCTCTGCTGACCTGTCACAAGACTGCACCCTTAAAACAATGACAAAGAAAGCAAAGCAAATAGTTCCTCACTCTTCAGTAAGTAAACCGAATTTATGAGAAGTGCTTCATTTGCATATGGACAAATGGAACCCTGGACAAAAGTTTCCCCAGAGCAGAAGCATCAACAAAGACAGCTGTATCAGCTAAGGAGTTAGTCCAGATAATTGAGTCCTTCTCCTCATAAAGAACTTTGTTATCTTTGGATCTATAAACCATTTATGCTAAATATGTCAAAACTGATGGGGAGAAGATTTATTATACTAACCTGTCTACACCAGTACATGTACAGACATCATGTTCTCCTAAGACAGGGCTACAAATACTTAGTGGTGAAGGAAAAACAAACAAGCAGACAGAACCCTAAACTTCTCTGCCCAAAATGTAGGTACTGTAATTGTCTTTGTTTAGAAAATGAAATCCATGCAGTCTGCCAAACCTTCCTCACCTATTCCCATCTGCACCCTCTGTGTATATCAATGAAGTGCTCTTGCTCATGGATTTCAAGTGGTAGCAGGTGAGAGTGGTTTATAAATTCATTAGAAGGCTGAAATGTCTTAACTTCACCATTTGCTTCTCTTTGGACTTCTTTTTATACTAGCACAAACTTAGTCATAAAGGGACATAAAATTAATGCATCTACATTCTCAATTTAACCCATTATAAAAATCTTATTTGAACATATTAGTATTGAAGATTTGGAAAGGAATAATTTACTGAGGAGAAACTTTAAGATGCATTAAAATAGGAACAAAGAAAGCATTTGAATACAACTCTGATGTTAGCAAAAATTAGCAAATCCAATTTTAAAATTTTAAAAATGATAGCGTACTTCACAAAGCAGTGTCACAGCAGCCCCAATTAAATAAAAATTTGATATTCCTTGGTTTTCACCAGCTGGAAACTTCTTTGCTATGCCCTGTACACATTTATGTATTTGTACAAAGATTTATTTATCTACGTGAAAGAGATGCCACTGATTTTCAGTGGAACCATTTTAGTCTAATTATTTTAGAATGGATTATTTTTGCTTCTCTATCTTATTTATTGTGTCTTAGGATGTCATTTTGCCAGCTGTTCTAGCTGTTTGTACCTCTCCCATTGGTGTATAAATAAGCTGCAGAAAGAGTGGGAAAGTGATTATTCAAAGTAATTAAAAATATATTTTTTTGTAAACTGAGATTATAAAATATATTTTCAGGCATAAGTCTGGTAGTGCAAGACAAAACACTTCCTTTGCACAATATTATAAATACTTCTGTCTTCGCTGATATTAGTAGAAAAACGATTTTTTACGTGTCAAGAATGTTTTTTACATCTATCGCAGCTTTCAATATAGTACAAAATATAAAGGTGCAGTTCTGCTTTTAAAAGAAAACAGAAAAGCATTTATTTTGAGTAGGTTTATGACTTCTTAGTACTTATCTCATTGCTTTGCTAGTTTTTTGTTTTGAGCTGTGTAACCTGGGGATCATTACAGTGAACTCTGTAGTGAAACCACCGCGTCAACAGTAGCAATTTCTTATTTAGCCATTTCACAAAGTTCAATTCTGATTCTGCTGTCATTTCTGCATGGGGATAATCCCTGGTATGTTCATATGTGCTTCCACTTCTACAAGAGACTATCCAAGCAATCAAAAAACCCCATTGCTAAGTCTGAAATACTTGAGAGCAATAAATCAAGCATGTTAAAAGTTTCATCTTGTTTCATTAATTTATTTTTTCATCTGTTTAACTTACAGTCTAACTCTACTCTGCAGATATAACATATAATATTTTTAGAATTTTACTTCAGTACTGATGCATTGTTCACTTTGTTTGTAGATTTCTAATTCCAAGTATTACTAAGTAAACAGGGCCTTAAACACAGACTGTATTTAAAAAAAAAACCAAAAGTCTGACCACTTTTCCAGTCCATCCTAAGTGCTTTAGAGTTTCTCAGAATAAAGCTGCCAATTGTCTT